CGCAAGGGTCGCGGTCGCCTTCCCGGCGCGTGGGCCGCCGCCCTGCAGCCCGCCGCACCGTTCTAGGTGTGTCAGACCCTCACGGACCCATTCTGCCTTTTGTCAGGCAAGGTGACTGCCGCACTCCCCATGATTGCGCCCGCTGTCGCCGTTGAGAGTCTGGGTGGGGTGGAAAGGCGGTCGGGCGCGACGTCGGCTCAACGCCCGCCCCTGCTGAAAACGCGCTGTCTCCCAGGGGAAAAAAAAAACCCCGCAAAGGCTGTGGTAGTAGCAAGGATACTATGCAGCTACTCTAAATTGGATGCGGACTGCGTGCCTGGCACCGTACTAACCGTGCTGCATGAGTTCCTCCTAAGACCCTATGAATAAATCGTTCCTCTCCCCATTCTTGCTGAAGGAGCCCTACAGCAGATCAGATTCCTTTAGACACAACTTCAATATTACTTAGCCCCAGGTCCCTTGCAATCAGGGATTCATTAACGTAATGATGCTCCACTTCTATCCTCAATGTGCTAACTAATAATTAGTCTAGGTTTCCTTTTTATGGGTGTTTTCCTATTCAAATAAAATTGTGTAAAGCTTTTTAAATCTGTGTTGTTTTGTTATTTTGCTAGAGTTATTTTTTTTTCCTTACCAGTCTCCTTTAGTTTCAAACACTTTTTTTTGTTTTTTTGGGTTGTTTTTTTTGTTGTTGTTGTTGTGTTGTTTTTCCGAGACAGGGTTTCTCCGTGTAGTTTTGGTGCCTGTCCTGGATCTCGCTCTGTAGACCAGGCTGACAGACATTTGCCTGGGTCTGCCTCCTAAGTGCTGGGATTAAAGGCGTGAGCACCACAACCACCTCAAACTTTTTTTTTTTTTCTTTTTTTTTTTTTTGAGACAAGAGCTCTCTGTGTAGATATGTTGACCAAACTAGCTTCGAACTCCAGATCGGCCCACCTTTGCCTCCCCAGTGCTGAGATTAAAGGCATGTGCCACCATACCTGGCTACATTCATCTTTTGAAATAATTATGTCTGCCAGATGTAGTGTCATACACAGTGAAACATCTGGAGTGGGGAAAAGCTTTTACTTGCCTTAATATTTTCCATTTTTTTTCCCCATTCAGTGATTTAAAAAAAAAAAAAAACACCTTAAAGCCGGATGGTGATGGTATTCGCCTTTAATGCCAGCACTCAGGAGGCAGAGGCAGGTGGATCTCTGTGAGTTTGAGTCCAGCCTGGTCTACAGAGTGAGTTCTAGGATAGGCTCCAAAGCTACACAGAGAAACCCTGTCTCAAAAAAATAAATAAGATTCATTTTTATTATCTTTAATTATATATTGTGTATGTGTCTGAGTTCAGCTATGTACACATGAAAGAAGAGCCCTCGAAGGCCTGAAGCCACAGATTCCCTGGGCCTGGGCTCCAAGGTGGCTGTGAACCACCAGATGTGGGTGCTTGGAACCTTTTGCAAAAGCAATGTTCTCTTAGTAGCTGAGCCGTCTCTTCTCTTCAGCCCCAAGGTCTTCCTCCCCCAACCCACTCCCATCCCCCACCCCCACCCCTACCCCTCCACCCCCTGGAAGACAGGGTTTCTCAGTGTAGCTTTGCACCTGTCCTGGATCTCGCTCTGTAGACCAGGCTGGCCTCGAACTCACAAAGATCCACCTGCCTCTGCCTCCCGAGTGCTGGGATTAAAGGTGTGCGCCTTCTGTTCTTAGGCCATGTAAATCTCCTTTGGTTAGCAACACAAGACACTCCTCACTTTCTCACAGTGATACCAGACTCTCCACCATTAAACTGCTGATTCTTTCTGTTCCACCCACTAATCCCCGTGCCTGTAAGCTCCCGTTACTGTATCTCAGTCGTTAACCTCTTCCCCACTAGGACAGACACTTCAGCACTGACCTCCAAAGCCATGACTCAGGGCGTCTTCCCTACTTGTCAGCCAACCATCTCTCTCCATGAGGTTTTCCCGAAGCCTCTGCTTCCCACAGCTTTCTTCTTTCTACATGGCTTTTGTTAGCACCTCACAGTCCATCTTAATTTTGTTTCCTTTTTTAAGTGTCTTCACAAAAACCCTACGGTGTGGTCTTCTTGATTTAGGATAATTGCAGTGGCATAATGGTGTCTCAACAAATGTTTCTCAATTGGAAGGATTTTAAAACTTGCCTTTAAAAAAGGCTTCATTTCCAGTTGCTGATGAATTCCATGCTACATGAAAAAAAAATACAAGAATGAGAGAGAAATAATGTTCAATTAGTTCCGCTGACAAGTATTAGTTGAAGTGCTCAGTGGATGCCTCCCAGGGTAAGCAAATAATGAAAGAAAAGTTGTCCAGCACTCAGGAGGCAGAGCCAGACAGATATCTGTGAGTTTGAGGCCAGCCTGGTCTACTGAGCGAGATCCAGGAAAGGCACAAAACTACACGGAAAAACCCTATCTTGCAAAAACCAAAAAATAAAAAGAAAAGTTGTGCTTTTTCTTTTTGCAATAAAAGGGTTTTGAGGCATTCATACTTTGACAACAAAGGAGGACATCCTGAACCTGTGGAGTAAATAAGCCTGGGTTATGATTTATGGGAAAAGAGAGGGAGTAATAACTACAGGCGTCAGGGTCACTGGACTCTGGGCCTCAGGAAATGTGAGTGAAGAGAGGCATCCACTCCAGTCGGCTTCTTAGGAAGAGCTAATGAAGACTGACTGAACGTGAGAGAAATCAAAGCCAGAACCAGACTCTGGAGAAGATGGCCAGCTAGTGTACACCAGCGACATTTGCACTCAGTGACAAGTGTGGTACAAGACCAGTTAGGAAGTTACTCGGGAACAGGGGAGGGAGTCTATTTTGTTGTTGTTGTGTTTTGAAATAGGGTCTCATTCTGTAGGTTGAACTCACAGCAATTCTCTCACCTCAGCACCTGAGTACTGGGATTACAGGTATGAACCACCATGCCTTGCTGACAATGTCATCTTAAAGAGAGAACATTTCATCTGATCTGTATGTGTTTGTTACCTTTAGAAGAGAACGGTTAGGCCTGGAAGAGCAGGCCTATAATCCTAGCTACCTGGGACCTGAGGTAGGAAGGTCAAAGGTTGAAGCCCTTGGCCAGTGGGATGGCTCAGTGGGTAAAGGCTCTTGCCGCCCAGCCTGGCTACCTAGGCAGAGTTCCCAGAAGCCACAAGGTAGGAGAAAACTGACTGATTCCCACAAGCTACACTCACACACACACACACACACACACACACACACACACACAGAATCTATCAAGCAACCAATGTAATATGTAATTAAAAAAATTTAAATTCAAGTCCAGCCTGGGGTACAGGGTTAATTCAAGCCCAGTCTGGGTAATTTAGCAAGAACTGTCTAAAATAACAGGGGGTGGAGCTGGGTATGCAGGTTAGTGGTGGGAGCTTGTGTGGCATGCATGAGGCCCTGCGTCCAGTCATCAATACTGTACAGAAGGGACGGAGGGAAAGAGAAAAGAGAAGCAGCCACCTCCCAATTCAGCCGTCTCTTTCCCTAGGAACTAAAACTCCTAAGCTGTATCCTATTCAAAACATACAAGGACTCAACAGAGGACGTTTTGGAGAGAGCTTAAATTATACATCTATAATTTTAAAAAATATCTAGAACCTATCAAATGATACTATAAAGTTTATGAATACATAAACACAGAGTAAAACTATGTAAAGACACACTAGGTACCGGTACACCACATTCATGTTACCTCTGAAGTCAGATAGAGGAGGAGACAGACATCTGGGAAGAAGAAAGAGGAACTCAACTTTATTTCTAAGGCTTGTTCTTTTACTTAAAGTTATCTGGCCAAGCATGGTCACGCACACCTGCAATCCCAGCACCTCCCTGCTGTCAGAGCTGCCCAAAGAGGCATCTCTTCTCAGGTAGAAGCCTCTAATGTTCCCTTCGATTTTGTGAGTCAACTATGAAACCCCAAAGCCTTTGTTGGGCTCTTTGGGAAAAAAACAAACAAAAACAAAATAATAGCAAGGGAAACTGTGATACTCTCCCAAATACCTTCTAAGTTATCAAATGCTAGAAAAGTTAAGGGCCAGATGAGGAGCTTGTAGCTATTCCGTTACAGGCTTAAAACGGGTGTAGCCGAGAGAAGAGTCAACGGTTCCATTGGGAACACTGGCTCTTGGGTTCTGACACCTATAACTGAAGTTCATCAAGGCAGGACTGTCTTCTGTTCCTCTTAGCGCCTATCTAGTCTTTCATGCCCCTCCCCCCTCTGCTATCCCAGCACATAGAATGCCTAGTTCTTTACACAGAGTAAACGTTCTTCAATGTTCTAATCAATGATAGTGTCACAAAGGGCCTATTAATAGCATCATCAAGACTTGAACAGTAGAAGGCCTCTAGTTGGTCCAAGTAGGTAAGCCACAGCCTCTTGAAGCAGGCTTGCAGCTTCCCAGTGGACGCTTTTATTCGCATTTGCCTATATTCTGTGAAAAATAGAAGGAATACAAACAGATCACCCAAATTTTCAAAATGTTTGCCAAAAGGCAAAGTGATGCCACCGGTGAGTCCGACTCAGACCGCGAATTCAAGGATGGCGCCATGGTGAAAAGAAAGTCCCGTGGCAGTTATGAGGATCCAGCGAACACCAAACTCGAAATGCCACTATCAGTAAAAGCAGTCATCAATAAGATTGAGCAGGCGCAGCTCCTTCGGGCCAAAGAGGTAAGCAGTCGATTGGTTTACAGACTACATCTTGTATGACTGGGTGAATTTTTTTGCTTGAAAAGAAAACACTTTACATTCAAGAGTGTTGACTAGAGTTTAGTTAACTTTGACTACAGATGACACTCTTACCCACCTGACTATGGAGAGTAAGCTCCAGTTCTGTATCAGTCTGTTCACACTAGAATTAGGCAAGACAGCTAAGAAATTAATCAATCAATATGGCTTCACATCTGTAATTCCAGCACTCAGGAGGATGATGAAGGCAGGAGAAGCTTGAGTTCAAACACGAGGCCAGGTTGAGCTGAAGAGTAACAAGACCTGTCCAAAAAAGACAAAAAACAAAAAACAAAAAACCCAAAAAAACCTAAAAGGTGGGTTTTCTGGAGATGGTTCAGCTGGTTAGGGCTTTTTCTGCCAAGCCTCTCTGCCTGAAGTTGGTCCCCAGAAGCTACACAAGAGAAGAGAATCAACTCTCCAACCACGCTCTGGCCTCCACACGTGTGTAGTGGCACCTGCACTCCCTGCGAGTGAATCCATAAATGTAATCTAGAAACTAAACCAAAGCCGAGGCCCCAGTTCAGCGATAGAGCTGTTGGCCAGCGTGAGTCAGCCTCTAGGCTCAACTCCAGCACTGCTAAAGAGGAGAGAGAGGAAATGTTGGTGATATTGGTACTTTCTAGCTTTCCATACAGTTTCCTGTTCCAGCTTCTCACAACTGGAACACCAGTGTTTACTCTTAACAGCTTCATTGGTCGTCTCAGTTACTTTTCTACTGCTGGGATAAAACACCATGATCGAGGCAATGCATAAAAAGTATTCAGTGTGAGGCTCACGGCTTCAGGGGGTTGGAGTCCGTGATGGCGGATCAAAGGCACCGTGGCAGAAACAGCTGAAAGCTTGTCTCTTGATCAGCAGGTTGGAGGCAGAGAGAGCTAACCGGGAATGGTGTGGGCTTTTGAAACCTCGAAGCTCACAAAAAGTACTCAAATATATAAGCCTATGGGCTATTCTCATTCAAACCTCTACATTCCGCTCCTTGGCCCCCACAGGCTTGTGGTCATATCATACTACAAAATTCATGTAGTCCAACTTCAAAGGTCCCCATAGTCTTTTACAGTCTTAACACTGTTTAAAAGTCCAAAGGTCAAAGTCTCTTAGGAGATTCAAGGCAATCTCTTAACTGTAACGCCCTATAAAACCAAAATAAAAGAGCCAAGTACGAATTTCCAATACACAAGGGCAGGGAACATGCATTACCGTTCTAGAAGAGGAATGGGGCAGAGTGAAGAAATACAGGACCAAAGCAAACCTGAAGCCCAGAAGGGCAAACTCCAAATCCTGTAGTCTCCAAATCCATGTCTCACGTCAGAGGCCTCAGATGGCTCCACCACCCTTCCAGCTTTGCTGATTGCGACACACGAACACACTAACTCCCCTCTTGAGTGGATGCCACTCCCTGTCTGCAGCTCCCCTAGGCAGGTATCCCACAGCTCAAGCATCTCCGCCATCGTGGGGTGGTCTCCAGTGCAACCCAGGCTTCTGCTTCCCAGCTTCCCACAGAGGCATCTCAGGCCTCCTTGAAGGGACTTCCTTTCACATGGCTGGCTTCAGTGGCTCTCCTTGACTGTGGCGGAAGATTCCATGAACCCTTTACACAAGTATCCTTCATGACTCTAAAGTCAGAGAACCATGTGGACGACACTGCCCAATTCCGTTGCTGGCTTGGGATGGAGCCCCCTTGAATCACATTGGCATAAGCTTTTGTTTTGTTTTGTTTTTTCAAAATGTTATGCCCAGATCATGGGGACCCCCAAAGACCACCACAGAGACCGAATCCCATATGTAAAAAGCAAAGAGCCTTTATTTCAAGCTCAGAGCTTGGACTCTGTTGGACGCATCGGTGAGAGCAGAGAGCCCCAGGCCCAGGCAGGGTGGGTTTTTTTTTATCATAGGAGAGGTTGGGTGAGAGGATTTCCAGCGTTCAGGGTCCTGATTGGCTGACATTTGTCTAGGGGTATGGGGAATGTTTAGAATGTCCGGTATTTCCCCTTAGATGAAGGCCCTCCCTGGGTGGGGTCAGCTCATGGCTTCTCCTGGATCCAGGTGTTGCCTGCCAGTCAGACTGTCACAGAAGCTGTGTCTAGGCCTCTAAGCCTGTCATGGCAGTTGTGTGGTCAAGCTGTTTTGGGCCCCTCCACTTGAGAGGGTTTCTCTGTGTAACAGTCCCAGCTGTACTGGAACTCATAGATATCCTCCTGCCTCTGCCTCCCAAGCGCTGAGATTAGAGGCGCCACAGCCTCCCTACTTGTTGCTTCTACAAATTCCTCAGGTCTTTGAAAGCTCAGCAGCACAGGGTCTTGCCCTGAGGGCACACTTCCCTTTGTTCTGTTTTGGAGCAGGCCTTTCTTTAATTTCCTCATCTCTGACCACAGGCCTTGGTTCCAACATTAAATTTCTTGGTATTCTTTTTTTGCTCCAAACTGTACATTTCGTATTTCTTCTTGTCCTACTTATTTTTTTCCTTTGTAGACCTGCATAAGTGATTACTAATAACTGAATGAAAAAAAGATATAAAAGGAGAACAGGACTGCCCCTAAGGGACTGAGGTTTTTATTATAGATACAGGCAAATGCAGAGACATCTGGGAGAGTCCAGACTGAACATGGCCAGACTGAGCTGGGCCATGTGAGGAGAGAGGAAGAGAGAGAGCAAGAGAGGAGCCACCAACCAAGGGGGGCAGCATGGACCAAGAGACCAAAAAGACAAAAGGGCCCAAGAGGGTAGATGTAGCCAAAGAGCTACATTATATGGGAAAGAGCAGCTGGGGGAAGGGCAGGCCAGCCCCTGGGCTGGAGAGGTCCGGGTAGGGTGGGGCATGCCAGCCAGGAGGGCCCTGAACAGGTAGGGATCCTGGTGGCCAGTCACTTTGATGTGTTAAGAGGCATCTCAGCTGTTTGTCCTGGGTCTGAATATTAGCCTGTTTTCAAATCTCCTCCCCCGAAGAAATTAGTCCATTACTTTTAAATTTAGCCTGAGGCAGATTCTTGGGAGAAGGGCAGAAGGCAGCCACATTCTTTGCCAAAATATCACAAGAATGGCCTCTAGCCCAGTTACTAATCTTGTTCCGATCTGAAACCTCTTGAGTTGGGCCTCCAGAGTCCACATTACTCTTAGTACCGCTGTCTTCCAAGCTCCTGCTAGGCTAGCCCATGAAGCCCAGCTAGAGTATTCAAATGCTTTCCTAATCTGAAGTCCCAAAGTCTTGCACATTCCTCCAGACGCCAGCATGGTCAGTCCTGTCGCAGCAACACCCACTCCGGGTACCAACTTCTTCTTAGTTGCTTTCCTAATGCTGTGATAAACCACCATGTCCAAGGCAATTTATTTAAAAAAAAAAAAAAAAAGGTGTGAAGCCAGGTGTGTGGTGCATACCCCTCATCCCAGCACTCAGGAGGTAGAGGCTAGCAGATCTCTGAGAGTTTGAGACTAGCCTGGTCTAAAACACCCTATCCCAGCCGGG